CCTTCCCTACCCTTCACCACCTTCCCTACCCTTCACCACCTTCCCTACCCTTCACCACCTTCCCTACCCTTCACCACCTTCCCTACCCTTCACCACCTTCCTTACCCTTCACCACCTTCCTTACCCTTCACCACCTTCCTTACCCTTCACCACCTTCCTTACCCTTCACCACCTTCCCTACCCTTCACCACCTTCCTTACCCTTCACCACCTTCCCTACCCTTCACCACCTTCCTTACCCTTCACCACCTTCCCTACCCTTCACCACCTTCCCTACCCTTCACCACCTTCCCTACCCTTCACCCCTTCACCACCTTCCCTTACCCTTCACCACCTTCCCTACCCTTCACCACCTTCCTTACCCTTCACACCCTTACCCTTCACCACCTTCCCTACCCTTCACCACCTTCCTTACCCTTCACCACCTTCACCCTTACCCTTCACCACCTTCCCTACCCTTCACCACCTTCCCTACCCTTCACCACCCTACCCTTCACCACCTTCCTTACCCTTCACCACCTTCCCTACCCTTCACCACCTTCCCTACCCTTCACCACCTTCCCTACCCTTCACCACCTTCCCTACCCTTCACCACCTTCCCTACCCTTCACCACCTTCCCTACCCTTCACCACCTTCCCTACCCTTCACCACCTTCCCTACCCTTCACCACCTTCCCTACCCTTCACCACCTTCCCTACCCTTCACCACCTTCCCTACCCTTCACCACCTTCCCTACCCTTCACCACCTTCCCTACCCTTCACCACCTTCCCTACCCTTCACCACCTTCCCTACCCTTCACCACCTTCCCTACCCTTCACCACCTTCCCTACCCTTCACCACCTTCCCTACCCTTCACCACCTTCCCTACCCTTCACCACCTTCCCTACCCTTCACCACCTTCCTTACCCTTCACCACCTTCCCTACCCTTCACCACCTTCACCACCTTCCTACCCTTCACCACCTTCCCTACCCTTCACCACCTTCCCTACCCTTTCACCACCTTCCCTACCCTTCACCACCTTCCCTACCCTTCACCACCTTCCCTACCCTTCACCACCTTCCCTACCCTTCACCACCTTCCCTACCCTTCACCACCTTCCCTACCCTTCACCACCTTCCCTACCCTTCACCACCTTCCCTACCCTTCACCACCTTCCTTACCCTTCACCACCTTCCCTACCCTTCACCACCTTCCCTACCCTTCACCACCTTCCCTACCCTTCACCACCTTCCTTACCCTTCACCACCTTCCCCCTTCACCACCTTCCCTACCCTACATCACCTTCCCTACCCTTCACACCTTCCCTACCTTCACCTTCCCTACCCTTCACCACCTTCCCTACCCTTCACCACCTTCCCTACCCTTCACCACCTTCGCTACCCTTCACCACCTTCCCTACCCTTCACCACCTTCCCTACCCTTCACCACCTTCCCTACCCATCATCATCCTTTACCCTTCATCACCTTCCCTACCCTTCACCACCTTCCCTACCCTTCACCACCTTCCCTACCCTTCATCACCTTCTCTATCCTTCACCACCTTCCCTATCCTTCACTACCTTCCCTACCCTTCACCATCTTGTCTACCCTTCACCATCTTCCCTACCCTTCACCACCTTCCCTACTCTTCACCACCTTCCCTACCCTTCATCACCTTCCCTACACTTCACCACCTTCCCTACCCTTCACCACTTTCCCTACCCTTCACCACCTTCCCTACCCCTCACCACCTTCCCTACCCTTCCTCACCTTCCCTACCCCTCACCACCTTAACTAAGTTTCTAAGTGTAAAAGTAACGTTTCTAAGTGTTAAGGTAACGTTTCTAAGTGTTAAAGTAAGGGTTCTAAGTAAAAATAATGTTTCTATGTGTATAAGTAAGATTTTTAAGTGTTAAAGTAAGGTTTCTAAGTGCTAAAGTAAGGTTTCTCAGTAAAAAATAATGTTTCTAAGCGTATAAGTAAGGTTTCTAAGTGTCAAAGTAAGGTTTCTAAGAACAAAACATGAGGGACACTTGTATACTTGAGACAACGTCAACTTGCAAGAGTCACAGACAGTGGACCTCTCCGCTACGGGTCCCTAAGGTGCCTTCCTGCCGAAGCGGTTTTCCCTTCCTCCTAGCAACAAGGGGGCCCACGCCTCCCTCAGCTCCTAGGGACCCTCGCCTCCACCAGCCCCTAGGGGATTACGCTTCCTCCATCACCTAGGGACCCACGCCTCCTCTAGCTCCTAGGGACCCTCGCCTCCACCAGCCCCTAGGGGATTACGCTTCCTCCATCACCTAGGGACCCACGCCTCCTCCAGCTACTAGGGGCCCACGCCTGCCCCAGCTCTTAGGGGCTTTGAGGGACACTCACCAACGCCGTCACCTCGCTTTCCACAAAACCGACTTTAACGGGACTTTGAGGCTTTACCTGCATTAGTGTCTCCAGACATGAGGGCTTCGCCAGGCGCACGTTACTCGCTGTGCTGGTATCTCCCCCGGTGGTACCTCCATGCTGGTACCTCCATGGTGGTACCTTCATGTTGGTACGTCCATGCTGGTACCTCCCGTTGTAACAAGAGGCTTCCTGGGACTTGCGACCAGATATACTGTGGACAAAATGGTCAACGAAAGCTGTCGGGTATTGGGTTAAGAGTCAGACGACTTCCAATACTATTGTACAGTCAGTGTGGCCGCGTGGTTGATGTACTGGACACGCTAAAGGGGCATGGAGGTCCTGGCTGTACGGGTTCGAATTTTTCAGGGATCAAGAGTTTTCTGATGCACGTTAGCTTGGAGACCATTCAAGCTTAGCGCTAAGCATATATATATATATATATATATATATATATATATATATATATATATATATATATATATATATATATATATATATATATATATAAGCCTATAAAAATCAAAGAGGATTAAGCGGTCAGAGAAGCGGTTTCTCTGACCGCTTAATCCTCTTTGACCATTCTAAGCTAAGCTATACCTGTTTTGGTTAATTACACCTGACCAACCTTGGGATGGGGTGGTCAGGTGTCGGCCTATATATCTTCCCCCCTTCTCCCTTCTCCTCAGTCAGTCTGGTGTTGACAAAGGCTTTAACAAAGCCGAAACGTTCACCTCATTTCATATTTCTCTGTGGATTTTCCGCATATAAAATATATATATATATATATATATATATATATATATATATATATATATATATATATATATATATATATATATATATATATATATATATATATATATATATATATATATATATTGTTGAATATGACCGAAAAGGTAAGGAAAAAGGAAATAATTCTAACACGAATTTTCTCAATATTTCTTATGTTTTTCTTCACTGTCGGTGGTAATAAAAATATCAATTCTCCAAAATTCATTTTTTAATTGTCTGATGCCTGAACGCGTTTCGTAATGCTTATTACATTTTCAAAGACTTAATTATACACAGATTCATCAAACTTATACTGCTTTTGGGTGAGGTGATATGGAGCTCTGCAGTTCTCATATCCAATTTATACCCATTGTTTCGTGTTCTGTCTTGTGTTTGTCATAAGTTTGTTCACCTCACCCAAAACTTTGTACCATATCACCTCACCCAAAATGAGTATAAGTTTGATGAATCTGTGTGTAAATTAAAGTCGCCACAGAGCCAAAGTAGCGGAAGGAAGATTCACTGTGATATGGTACGAACAAGCCACTGGTTACTCGAATTTCAAGCCTGACAAAAAGATATCCAGAGATATTGCAGTAGCCATACACAAACTCTGGTTTGGTTACAAGTGCTGCTGGGAGGTAATGAACCCAAATAGTTAAAGAGTGTCACATCTATGAAATAGAAGCAGAGGCGCCACTATTGCACTACTAACTGGAATATGAAGCTACTGAAGCCCTGCGCATCAAACTCAACATTAATCCAACGACAACAGCTGCATTAGATGCACATTCCACAGCGACTTTAATGATTAGAAAAGCCGTTGAGGAATGGGACTCACTAGTGAGCATTCTGCATCTACATCCGCCTCCAAGATAATGTTAATAAAACAGGACTAAAACCAGTGCACTAAAACAGAAGCGATAAATAAACAGGGAAAAAGGAGGAATCTTCTCCTCCATGTTAAACTTAGACCAAATATTACAGAAACAAGGTTATCGCGGATAACCGAACTTAATTACGGGCTCACCATATCCCGTACTACATGGACACTTCGTTCTGAGTAGCTAAATCTGAAACAATAACATGTGTAAATTAAGTCTTTGAAAGTGTAATAAGCATTACGAGACGCGTTCAGGCGTCAATTAAAAAAAATGAATTTTGGAGAATTGATATCTTTATTACCACTGACAATGAAGAAAAATATAAGAAATATTGAGAAAATTCGTGTTAGAATTATTAATCTTACCTTTTCGGTCATATTCAACAACATATGTTTACAAGAAAGACTGCTACCAATATATATATATATATATATATATTATATATATATATATATATATATATATATATATATATATATATATATATATATATATATATATATATTTATATATATATATATATATATATATATATATATATATATATATATATATATATATATATATATATATATATATATATATATATATATATATATATATATAAGGATTTGGTTAACAGCATCAGTGTAAAGGAGGTTGTTAGAGAAGCGGAGAGGAGATTTATAGAGAAGTAAGCAGCTTTACAAACTAAATAGGATCGACTGATTTTCATCTAGCTGAAAGGAGTTATGTTCACCACCTACTGGACATAACTCCTCTCGGCTAGGGAATATAACCTTGTGAACTGCTTGTGACATGACTGGACATTAATATTTGTCACAGACTTCTAGAGACGTCACTGGACATTAACGAGAAAATTCGTTAGTTATCGTAGTGCATAGGTCAACATTTAATAATTGCAACAAAAAATAAAACAATTTGGATACAAAAATACAACAACATACAATCTTTTACACAATGAAAATACAATCACGTGATATATCTATGAGCAAACTCTTGAGAGCGTATCGTGGTCCGTGGGTTAAGGTGCGTGTCTGGGGTTGACCCCTGGGACGATGGGTGCCATCCTCCTCCTCCGGCTCCAAAGATGTTCTCAGTCTTCTCCTTCTAGTTGCTCCTGAACTTCTAGGGATCTTGGCGACATTTTATATATTTTTTAGAGCGCATTATTATTTCACTCGAGTAGCAGCAGCATCGAGAGAGCGAGAGATATAGAGAGATTGAGAGAGGGAGAGAGGTCTACCTCACAGTAGACCAGACCCAGGTCTTCTGGGCCTGGTCTACTGTGAAGTACCAGGTTTTCTGGGTCTGGCCTACTGTGTGGTACCAGGTCTTCTGGACCTGGTGGACTCCACTCATCTCAGATATTCAAATTCAAGGACTATTCATAAATGTTTGAACATTTATAGCTGGGATACATTACACAAAGTGACATAAAATTATTTACTCAAGTCATAAGAATAACGTATAAGTAATTATATCTTGTATATTCAACATTTAGATTTAGAAGCTACATTTATCAGTGATTTAAAAATTATTGCAGTTGTCAAATTGAGAATCAAACCTCACAAACTATCCTGCGAGACGGAGGCTTCGAACCAGACTAATCACCGGAACTATGTTACTCCTCACAGTTTAGGAAGACTAGTTAATAACACCCTTTGTCCCTTGTCTCTCTGTCTTTTTTTCAATCCCCGACCGTCCAAGTGGTTGGGCACCATTCCTTTTCCCCCGTCCATCCCAAATCCTTATTCTGACCCCTTCCCAGTGCTATATAGTCGTAATGGCTTGGTGCTTTCTCCTAATAGTTCTCTCTCTGTTTTTGTCTGCGTATCTGCTTATCCTTCTCTCCTAATATAAACCCGTCCGCTGCCACACTCCCCACCTGTTCAGCCACGCATCTATTGTATGCTTAAATGAGTAACAACAGCGGGCCGAAGCATTTTTGTACCGCGGCCCTCAAAAGGGAGCAGCTATGTGACGGCGCCAGAAAAAAAAAAAAGATCGTACCACACACAGGGCCCATATTTTTGTGGCTGGCTTCGATAAGTGTGTTTTTTAACTCTTTTGTATGGCGTGATAAAATGCACTACTCTTCAATACAATCCCCCGAAGACCATAACAATGTTAGGTAAACAACATGTGAAAAGTTCGACGACTTTTCAAAGTCCTTGTGGGTGGCAGCTAGGTCACCTATTCTGTTGTGATTCTATGCGTGATATCGTTGGATATCTAGCATATCATTAGAAAAAAAAAAGCAATACAAATAATTAGCTGGCTCTGGTGGCCAATAAAAAAAATATGCCAAATTATGTTTTATTCACAGTATAAAACCCTCGCCGCTACATCTATATTCTAAAGTTAAAGTGATTTGATATAATAATTTAGAAGAGACGGTGGTGGTCTTAATATTTTCTTATCAGGGGAGTGAAAGTCAAGGAAGAGTAGATTATCGTGATCACAGCTGCAGGTGTGTGGTCACAGCTGCAGGTGTGTGGTTGCAGGTGTGTGGTTGCAGGTGTGTGGTCACAGCTGCAGGTGTGTGGTCACAGCTGCAGGTGTGTGATCACAGCTGCAGATGTGTGGTCACAGCTGCAGGTGTGTGGTCACAGCTGCAGGTGTGTGATCACAGCTGCAGGTGTGTGGTCACAGCTGCAGGTGTGTGGTCACCTCCCAGCATGAGACCTCCCGGCACGAGACCTCCCAGTACGTGACCTCCCAGCACGTGACCTCCCAGCACGAGACCTCCCAGCACGTGACCTCCCGGCACGAAACCTCCCAGCACGAGACCTCCCGGCACGAGACCTCCCAGCACGAGACCTCCCAGCACGAGACCTCTCAACACGTGGCCTCCCGGCACGAGACCTCCCGGCACGAGACCTCCCAGCGCCGAGACCTCCCGGCACGAGACCTCCCGGCACGAGACCTCCCAGCACGAGACCTCCCAGCACGAGACCTCCCGGCACAAGACCTCCCGGCACAAGACCTCCCGGCACAAGACCTCCCGGCACAAGACCTCTCGGCACAAGACCTCCCGGCACAAGACCTCCCGGCACGAGGCCTCCCGGCACGTGGCCTCCCAGCACGAGACCTCCCAGCACGTGACCTCCCAGCACGAGACCTCCCGGCACGAGACCTCCCACCACGAGACCTCCCAGCACGTGGCCTCCCAGCACGAGACCTCCCAGCACGAGACCTCCCAGCACGTGACCTCCCAGCACGAGACCTCCCGGCACGAGACCTCCCAGCACGAGACCTCCCGGCACGAGACCTCCCAGCACGAGACCTCCCGGCACGTGGCCTCCCAGCACGAGACCTCCCAGCACGAGACCTCCCGGCACGAGACCTCCCGGTACGAGACCTCCCGGTACGAGACCTCCCGGTACGAGACCTCCCGGTACGAGACCTCCCGGCACGAGACCTCCCAGCACGTGGCCTCCCAGCACGAGACCTCCCAGCACGTGACCTCCCAGCACGAGACCTCCCGGCACGAGACCTCCCGGCACGAGACCTCCCAGCACGAGACCTCTCAACACGTGACCTCCCAGCACGTGACCTCCCAGCACGAGACCTCCCGGCACGTGACCTCCCAGCACGAGACCTCCCGGCACGAGACCTCCCGGCACGAGACCTCTCAACACGTGACCTCCCAGCACGAGACCTCCCAGCACGAGACCTCCCAGCACGAGGCCTCCCAGCACGAGACCTCCCAGCACGAGACCTCCCAGCACGAGACCTCCCAGCACGAGGCCTCCCAGCACGAGACCTCCCAGCACGTGACCTCCCGGCACGAGACCTCCCAGCACGTGACCTCCCGGCACAAGACCTCCCAGCACGAGAAAAGAAACGGGAATTCACAATTCACTTTGCAAATTACGCACAAACAGAGATAGGGGCGAAGATACGCCCTCATCACTAATCAGTCATAAATACTTGTTCGCGAAACATTCTTACAACGCGTAGCATTTTATTCCCCACGACATTCAACAGCTTAATTAAAACCCTCTACTGGAATCGGTCTAGGTTCGTTCGCATATGGACGGTTAAAGCGTACAGATTAGACGCTTGTCATTTCGTAATAACAGGCTGCGATATATAATGAGGAAATAAGACTCCAGTGAAAGGAGTTCTTACGCACCTTTGATAGTGCACACTTAACTTGATCTGGTCACATTTTCGTCTTGACAAACATCTTGAGTACGCATACAAGTAAATGCATCTTAACAACCAACACCTGACGAACGCCAGGAATGTCGTCGACTACCCATCGCCAGGGCCCTCGAGTACTGGACCTGGAGGGCAAGGAGCCCCCATCGCCAGGGCCCTCGAGTACTGGACCAGGAGGGCAAGGAGCCCCCATCGCCAGGGGCTGAACAAACCACTTGTACACAGCCTCATCCAACTGTACATGCGTTGAAGTTTTCAAAGTTCTTCTACCACACCCTCTGCTAGTGCTTGCACCTTCACTCTCACTGGTTGAAATGTATTTCAGGTATTGCTCTTTTTGTTTCCTTATATCAGAAACAGTACTAGTGCCTATATTAAAGTCCTTGGTAACTCTTGAAGTCGACCGGCCACTTTCATAAAGTTGTACAACACGTAACTTGTCTTTAATTGTTAGGGTAACCTCCTTCCTCTTAACACCTCCAGAACGATTGATGCTGCTACCAGACATAGTCTTGACCAAAAATGTTCAAAGTTACTATGAAAATAAAAAAGTTATTTAAAAAATATTTCACTAATGACACGGCATTGGGATATAACGCGAAGGACGGGAGCACATGGGCTGTTTGGCTTGAGCCGGTCGGCCAAGCGGACAGCACGCTGGACTTGTAATCCTGTGGTCTCGGGTTCGATCCCGGGCGCCGGCGAGAAACAATGGGCAGAGTTTCTTTCACCCTATGCCCCTGTTACCTAGCAGTAAAATAGGTACCTGGGTGTTAGTCAGCTGTCACGGGCTGCTTCCTGGGGGTGGAGGCCTGGTCGAGGACCGGGCCGCGGGGACACTAAAAGCCCCGAAATCATCTCAAGATAACCTCAAGATAGGGCCCTCGAGTACTGGACCAGGAGGGCAAGGAGCCCCCATCGCCAGGGCCCTCGAGTACTGGACCAGGAGGGCAAGGAGCCCCCATCGCCAGGGCCCTCGAGTACTGGACCTGGATGGCAAGGAGCCCCATCGCCAGGGGCCCTCGAGTACTGGGCCTGGAGGGCAAGGAGCCCCCCCATCGCCAGGGGGCCCTGGAGCAGGGAGGGGAACCGGGAGGGACAGGGGCCACCTGAGGGCGGCCCACACAGATGAAAGGTACACATGCGGGTGAATGGCCACAGAATGAAACCCAAACACGAGCTTCTTTAACCCCCCCCCCTACCCGCACTTCCTTTCACACAGGAAAGCCACCAATTTACTGTCCACTTGAGTGACTTCTTGATACCCGTCTTCTTCTTCCCTTGATGGCTTCCTCCATTACTTTTGTGTCAAACATTGCCGCTCCAATATTGGCTATTGCAGGAGCAACATCGACGCTCAGTATTGCAACACTGACTGCAGACGTATTTTTTGCGCTAATCAATTAATGAATCACTGATGCAACTTGAAATGCCATTAGTATACAGGAGTCAAGATACCAAAACTTGAAAATTAAAATGGAAGAAAACTTGAAAGCAATTTAATGGCGTTGATATGGGAGAGGGAACGGAAATACAGCCTTTGATCTCAGACTTCATCATACTCTTTATACTCACATCTCATCGTCCACACCGATGTATACAAGACTGAGAGCGTGTCTGTGTACCGAGTGGGGAAGTGGCTCTGATATCTCCAGACCTACGTTCGAATCCTACAAGCAGTGCATATTTCAATTCCAAATTGGTATCAGCAAAACCGAGAAGAGATGCAAGAATGTTTGCTCTTTCGAAAACAATTAGCAACATAATGAATTATGTACATGCAAACAAAGTGCCATCAAAGAATATATGCGTATATACCAATTTCGAAAGTTAAGGTAGTTTTTGGGTACTGTTCTCTAATATATACAGAAGCGATTAAGTTCATAAGTGCACTTGTGAGTGACGGGAATGTTGATCTCATCAAGTGTTCTATTCAGATTAATGTCTGGTATACGCGCAGGTTTCAAATAACCACAGGATGTAGAGTGTTGCTTAGTGCTTGCTACTCAAACATACACAAATTTTCTGCTTTTGGGAAATAAGACGACCCCCAGTTGCTCTAGATAATAAATTACATGATGCCTCCCAAACAACTTTGAGCCCAAAAGCTGGAAAGCTGATAACTTACAAAACACTGATATCCATCTACACACAAAAATTCATTCGTTCTGATCTCCAAAGCGATAGAAAATGGTTAACTCCATCATCAATTATAAAGCCAGCATGGAGGCACTCAACTGCGTCGCGAGGCCCGGACCTATGCAAATATTAGCAAGAGAGCAATGGCAAATATAATAGCGGCACCCCCATTTCACTTAGTTCCAGGACAGTCAAGGTAAATTAATCGTCTGGAAAGATTGGAGATTGATTAAGATTAAGCCAACCAGGAGGTGGCACGGGCATAAATAGCCCGTAAGCCTGGAAAGGTCATATCGACTCTATTTCTGAGCGGTTGTTGAAGCCAGTTTTCCTTCCCCGGGGAGGAAGGAAGACTAGTAATATTGCCATCCAGTCCACCCTTCTGGAGGAACTGAAACAAGAATTATATTCAAATGATGTGAACTTCAATCCCAATGTACCTTCTTGTATATATATAAATAAAATAAATAAAAATAAATACTCGCTGGAGTGAAGAGCGAGTGTCTACAACGGCACTAATGATTGACATAAAGGACCTCATCATAGCCCTTGAGCACCCACCATACGGCCCTTACAACCCAGCAATTGACCTCTACTCGTATGACCCGTTTCAAGGAAGTGTGTCTGGCAAATATCACGTCGACACCTGATGACAAGGTTAAAGAAATGGTGGAAAAATGAAATCGCGTACGATCACACGTGACCTTGGGAAAGGGCCCACTACAGTCTCGTATATACCTCGCTTACAATCGTGTTTTACAGTAGATACAACTGTCCACTTATCATCAGTCCTTAACAAATGCATTTGGTAAAAAAAAAAAAAAAAAAAAAAAAAAATATATATATATATATATATATATATATATATATATATATATATTATATATATATATATATATATATATATATATATATATATTGTTTTCCGTAGAAATGAAGCAGAAGGGTACATCCACAAAACGCAGGCTATGGATATCAGCCAGCAAAGAACTCGGGCGGACTTATTGGACCGGGAGGCCTTTGATGTGTTGAAACTCAAAGTGTTTGCTGCTCTGTCATCCACGGCCAATGATCAAAGAGTGAAAGAGTTAGTTCCTAATCAAGCTTTCATCGGAGCCTTGCGTCAACTTGGGCCATAATCACTCGGCAAACTTGGTAAACACTAAATGAGTGTTTTCTCTTGTCAGGAATGTTTAGGAATGGAGATTGGACCCAGCTCAGGCTGTAAAAGTCTTTAACGTCTGATGGAATACTCAAGTGTTCTATCTTCCAGTTCTGTAATAATCCCAGAAGGAAATTTGTACCGGTGCTCCATGAATATTAGAAACTTATACTCAAACATATACTCATCTCTAAACCCCGCTGCATGGCAGTAGCAGCAGCTGCAGCAGCTGCAGCACCACCACCAGCAGCTGCAGCACCGCCACTACCACCACCACCACCAGCAGCTGTAGCACCACCACCACCACCACCACCAGCTGTAGCACCACCACCACCACCACCACCACCAGCTGTAGCACCACCACCACCACCACCAGCAGCTGTAGCACCACCACCACCAGCACCAGCAACAGCAGCAGCCACAACATGCCACAGTGAGGTGTGGGACACTGTCATCAACTGCTGGCTGACTCTATCACTGGTCTTTATTGGCAGTGCGGCGTCGATAGCAATCCACAGCGGAGTACCTCATGTTTATAGAGAGTCTCTTACGGCGCTGTGTTTCACTCCCTGAGATGACACCAGAACTAGCTTCCGGCAGTGCTGAGAAGGTCAAATATACATACATCTTACCGCAGCAAGATGCCATGTATATTTGTGTATATTGCTTCCTGGATTTTTGGAAATATATCATATAGCAGGAAAACCTCACAAAGGCATTGCTTCAAACTTCGTATAATACGTATAATCTTAATATATATAATCGTATAATATAAATGAGTATGAATTCCACCCGAAAAAGATAAACATGGAAGATAGAGGAAGGCGAATACACGACGAGAGTAATAATAAGAAAGGTGATAGTAACTGTGATAATAACTAGGTATGGATCAAACGCCAGTACAATATTAATATTAAGAGCCGAGAGCTGGCTTAACTCCTCGGAAAACTTCATCCTGTAAATCGTGCGTCTACTCCAGTGTTCATATATATATATATATATATATATATATATATATATATATATATATATATATATATATATATATATATATATATATATATATATATATATATATATATATATATATATATATATATATATATATCATCATTCCCTCCCCATGAAGGAGGGAATGTATAATAGCCTTCTATAATATGTACCAAGGGACGGTACATATTATGAATTCCTCCCATGTTTTCCCCCCATCCAAGGAGTGACGCCCTAAGGAGGAGAAGAATGTCTATCTTGCCTCCTTATAGACTTTACTCACCCCTGTGATCCACAGCCTGTTGAAGTCACTCTTGGAGTGATAAGGTTACTGAAGAAGAAGAAGAAGAAGTCCCTATTAGAGTGCTGAAGTCAATCTTGCAGTCTTACAGAGCCGCAAATCTGCAACAGGGTTCTAGAGCAACATTTTCGAGTGCAATTTCCCGATGGATACGCTTAGT